ATGGTAGATTTCACAGTATAATTTTGATATTCAGACAGTCTAGGATGATTGATTTTTATGATTCACTTTTTGAAGTACACATAACTCTCGGATTTAAATCCGAAGTTTCCGCATTTATTTATGAGAATAGTTTATTGTGTAAGAACTAAGCAAAATTGTTGATTTTTAGTAATAGATTTCAAACTATCGGTATTGATATTCAGCAGTCGTTTTGTGTATAATTAAATAAAACCCAGTTTTGGATATATTTTGTATTTGAAAGAATTATCATTTGAGAGTCTGACGAGATTTAACTGAAACATTCTATTCTAGTTACAACATAATTCAGAATGGAATACGATCTCATTACGTCATCGACAATCTTCAAAATCATCTGAGAAAATGTCTAGGTAATTTAAAAAAGTGTTAATCTTAAATTAATGCCTTCTTTTTTTTTTTTTTTGAAGATTACCAAAAATGATTCGACAAAAACTCTGTGAAATACTTGATCCACCTACTTCACTAGGAAATGATTGGCGTATGTTTGCAAGTAATTTACTTGGAATCAAGTAAAGATTTTTATAAGTGAAATATATTTTTTTTTGTTTATCTTAAAATTTCTTATTTAGTTATTTGCAATATTTTGCTACAAAAACAAGTCCAACTGAACATTTATTAACATTATGGGATGCTCGACAAGAATCACTTGTTAACATGATTAATGTACTTAATCAAATAGGTCGTAGTGATGCTGCCTGTATTATTATAACACATATGAATATAACATATTGATTAAATAATTAATACGGTGCAAAATAGAAAAGGCAACAGCAATATTTTCTTCTTTTTAGTCTTGTGACGAGCTCTTTTGTCGGTATTTTTATATGTCTTTATTAATGTATTATACGTTTCGTTGTTTGCTTTTTTTTAGTAATAAAAAAAAAACATTATTCGAACTTTTCAAAAGTATATTGTATAGAAGTCTTAAGTTTTTGTGAAGAAACAGACACATTTGCAAAATCAAGCAAAGTCTATTTTATCTAGTTTCATTTCTAAAAACACGTAACGTTATATTGTTGGAAAATGTGAAGCATACAAAAAAAAAGAAATAAATATTCATGTTGAACATCTTATGCATAATATTCGTTATGCATTATGCGTTTTTGCTGAAAATTCTTCATGTGATCGTTCAAAACAAGTAGCAACATTATCAATTCATTTTAAAGAGAGAGAACTACTCTCCTGGTTTATCTGAAAAATTTAGATTTAAACAACATACCATGTCTTGTCGACGATTTAACATCAGATATACAAGATTAAATATGAGTAGCTACAGTCAACGAATTTGATCAAGAAGAATTCCTTAAAATTGAGTCAGTAGTTGTTAAAGAACAAAAATAGTAAATTAAATTTATAATTATATTAGTCTTTTTAACTTCACCATTAAAACCTGGTAATGTAGCTTATACGTCGATTGATGTTAGTTGGTTATAGGCAAGTGAATTTGGTTCTAAACGAACATATGTAGAATAGTATATTTACGACAAGATATTGATTATAATTTTTTGTCTATCAACTTATAATCGAATAGGGAAAGGTCGTTCGAAAGAAATTGATACACACATCAGTTATTACAAATATAATAGGATCAACTGTTCATTTGAAATGATCGGTATCATTAGTTTATCATCAACATTCAACATTTACGTAGTTGACAATGAAGAAATATTATTTCTGGTATCAATTGAAACATTAGATACAAAAAAATTTCATGATGATTTTGAAGAATAAATTGAAAGTGGTTGGCAAAAAAAACAAAAACAAAAGGAATTCAACCGATTATGATTGTCGGCTTTTTTTCTTTTTTGGTACGGAAGAAAATAAACTACTCACAGAGCTGGGCATATCGAGTCAAAATCAGGTCAAGTCAAGTTAGTTCGAGTCAATTTAAGCGAATTAACTTGACTTGTTCGAAAAAAAAATTTGGGGCTCGACTCGACATGTAACTTGAAAACCTCTGACTTGCCCAGCTCTGTATAAAACGTACTCAAGAACGTTGTACTTATTGTAATTACTCCACAAGAAAATATTGAAATACACTTATACAAACAAATTTTCGTATAATGCCCGACTTGTTTAATAGTAAGAATTTCTTTGTTTGACTTTCCCCTTTATAAGCATACCCAGGTCAAATGATGGTCGGCTGTACACTAACCAATTACGGCCGTTGTAAACAATGACCGTGAAATGTCGCTGTGAACGACTGGCGTAGCAACACGGCGACTATGTACGTTGATGGCATAAAATGTCGTGAGACACCGTTTACGGGAGCTGTATACGGTACCTCCCTACAGCAATCGTATACACCGCTTTACGGCCATTGTAAACAATGCCCGTAACAATACAGCGACCGTATACCCTCATCGAATAATATCGCAAAGTACTGTATGTGTCAACTGTAACTAGTCTGATACAGGAACATTATTATTAATCGTATTTCATCCAAAAATTCCCTAACATTAGTGTACTATTACTCAATATAAATAAGACATTCTCATGATCAGCTATGCTTGGAGCAGAGTAGCAATCGTAGCCTTTCCAGAAAGTCGAGAAAAAGTTGCGAGTTCTGCTCTCTGCTATGTGTAATATTTTTACAAAGTTCAAGAATTTTAGAACTCCCTTATTTTTTTCGATTTCGGTTGATATCCTCGGTGATATCGCTGGAATACACAAACTTCAGACACCTTTCCACAACATAGCAATGACGCTGCTGTAAACTCCAAGTAAGTCCCGTGAAAAACGGCTAGAAAATGCATTAGAATTGACTTCCTTAGGACCAAAAATTATTTAAAACCTCCCATTTTAATGTAATTTTCACTAGCCATTTCAGTTCTGACGAAGGATTTTAGTTTACTTAAATCTTTTTAACGGACCCCCGAATTTACATCAATTTCGATTGTCAATCAGAAATCAATTTCTATCTGAATGTTAGCTATATTATCTACCTGTAACCTCATTTTCTTCTTCTCACACCTGAACACAGCAGCAAAATCGGTGTCAATTGATTTTTCCAATTTTCCAACAAAGTGGATTTTATTGGAATTTTTGCAGACATTTCGATTATTTATAAACATTACGAAGCAGGATTTTTCTGATACTATTAAACATGTTCCAGAAAGCAGCGAAAGTGTGATTTCTTCATGCATTTATTATTCTCATCATTTCCCAATATATGGTCATTTCTGGTCGTCGTAAAGCTCGACCTGGACATAGAAGATTATCTTGATTAGAAGATTATGATACAATGTTTTCTCAGCTTTGTAATTGTATTTTGAATTCTTTCGTCACTTATGATCTTCATTTATCATTTACTAAATATTTTACTAGGTGAACATTCAGTATTTCGTTTTGGAATGATTTGTTTGAGAGAAGTTCTATCGAATAAGAACTAACTTTTTGTTGAAACTTTTAGACTGCTGTCGATCAAAATATTCGACCAAAAGATGCTTTTGCTTCTAATCTCAAGTTGAACGATATTAATAATGTTAAATATTCGTACACATCAGTTGCCATCTTATTGATTAGTCGTTATATTGATACAATCGCCATCATCAAACAAGAATCCAATAAATTCATTCAGTATATTAGGTATACATAATGGAAACCCATTCCTCTATCATACCCCAAACTGACAGATTTATTCGATACTAGTGATACAATTCTAGTTTTTCATCATCAAGTATGTGCAATTGTAGCTGTGGCTATTATTATTTCAGTATAAGCAGATCATCAGATTTTTTTCTAATTAAAACTTTCTTGCAATTATGGTTTTTTGATAATAATTTGAGTTTCACTCTCTTCTCTAATCACAGTTGTACTTTTCTACTTTTTCTCTATATTATTAAGATTAAAACGGTGCAATCAAATACATTAGATAACAAAGAATACTTGAAGTTCAATCATCGTCAAGTTAGTATGTACTTATAGCCCAATAAGTCATCGAATTGATGTCAAATAAACATATTGAAGGGCGTTACATATCTGGACACTTTTTTCTAAGGCAAGTCCTTCAGTGCAAGCTCATGAGATTTTACTCAATTATAATGAAATACACTAAAAGCTGCGTGTCTTCTCATCTGCGAACATAAAATCGAAATTTGAAACCTATTAAATTTAATTTCAGTTATTTTTCAAATTTAATTTATTCAAGTTGAAAACAATCTTAGGTCTTTATTTTTCGGTTTTCAAATTTCAAAAAAAATTCTGATAGCAATTTTAATACAACTCATACTTTCAATTATATTTCTAAACTTACTAAAATTTGAAGAATTCGCTAAAGATTGAGTTTCATTATTTCCATTTAACGAGCTGTAATTTGTCGAGTGCGTAAAATATAGTAGTGCTTTTTTATATTCTTTTTTGACTGCAATTTATATCCAACCATTGACGTGTACTTATATCGACACATCAGAGGCGATCTCGTAAACCCGAGTGGAGCTAGCAAATTTGAATTGACTAAAATGTCTAAATCACTTCACGAGCTCAAATCGTAATCCTAAAAGTTCTCGAAAAGGTGTCTAGATATATGACGCCCTCATCCAGTAGATTTATTTAAGCCATGTCGAATGGTACGGCATTATATGCGTAATGCACAACGGAAAACAACAATAAGTAATCAAACGATGATTGTACAAGACTATATAAAGACAAGGAAAACAATTATTTTTTTATTTTCTCCTGAAATAATTCAATATTCATTTTGTTCTTTAAATATTCTGAAACATTATTGATTTTATGTAATAATTTTTTTTCATTTCATCTATTATCTAAAGAAAAATTGCATTTTATTTTTACTCACATTTTATTATGTTACTTTCGTCTAGTTATTTAACATTAGGATAGGAAAAATTAAGTCAATTTAATTTTTTTTTGTTTTCAGATAAGGAAAACTATATTTTATATAATATACAATTTTTCTTATTGAATTACAATTATTCAAACAAATTATTCTCTGTAATACTAGCTTCGTATTTAAAAACAGGGAAAGTAAAATATAATCAAGTTATGTATTTCTTAAAATTAAATTCTAATTTAATGTAATTATTTAATTTCACTAACAATGAAATCTTTTATGCTGGTTATTAAAAACAGTGACTATATTCGGATCAAATTATCAATGTCACAACGAAAGTAACAAACTTAAAATATTACGTGTCTAAAGCAACCCTTGATCAAGATCTTTGATTTTAAAGTTATTTAGTATTCGTATGTGAACGTAATCTTACAAAAACTATGCACATCCAATGCTTTACAGAATTGTCTGGTTTTCAAGGTAGAAACTTTTTAAAGTGTCTTGTTAGAATTTTATTGATGACACTGGAGTCACAATAGATTCAGCTTTTTCTGTACGTTTACTGATACCGAAATGCCAGAAACGCCGACAGTTTTATATAAAATCCGTTGATTATTAGTACTTGGGACATTATTTCATATGAAAGCAATAGGTTTACGACAAATGAAGATTAAGATCTGTAATCAAATGATAATAATAAATGCTTTTGTTTTTGCATCAAGCACATATTAAGAGGATTTGCTCCTCGCAGCTATTAGTTGAAAAGTAAAGGTCATAAAATTTAAAATAATTGTTTTTGATTTTGCCAATCTTTCTTCGATTATTGCATCTTTTCTCCGTTTGACATCAGTAAACTTACAGAAGAAGCTGAATCTATTGTGACTTCAGTGTCATCAACAAAGTCTCAACAAGACCCTAAAAAGCTTCTACCTCGAAAATT